GATCCCGGGCGAACCCTGGGGACTGCGTACTGAGCCTGCGCGGTTCTTCCGCCTGCAACGGGAACGGCGTCTACCTGAGAATGGCACGGTCAGAATTTGGCGGACTCAAGATGTTGGAGGGACCAGAGAAGTCTCCAGACTTTAGCCTGAGGCGGGGAGTGAGAAGAAGACACTGGCAAGGTCCAAAAGGAGGCCTTGGCACTAGGGCCTTGCTAGACACCACCGGTCTGTCAGCATTCCTAAGAGCTTTGGTTTTATTGTGTACAAACACAACCGGAAGAAGCTTTGTTTACGGCCGAGCATAAGCACAACGAAATGAAGCTTTGTTTTAAGCGTCGCGACACTGAGGGAGAGGTGACAGCGAAGGCCAGAGACCGCGGAAGCCGGGCCTACGCCTGGTGACGTAGCCAGGGTCCCGCCCACTTGCCCCAGCCCCGCCCTTCTTCAGAGTCTGACAGAAGTCGCGCTCTTCCCACGCCCTGCCAGCTGCGGGAGCTTGGAAAACTGGGAGAGCGGAGCCCCGAGTCGCAGCCACAGGGCCTAGGGACACCTCATAGCAACAGCAAGCTGGGACACCTAGTAGGAACCTGGGACTCATTCCAGCCAACCAGACCGCGCCTCTGGATCCCACGGTACCACTCTCGGCCAATAGAAAGCCGCTCTATACCACGTGATGCTTATCCATCAGCCAATGGAGAGAAAGTCTAGTCGCAGACTCAGCCATCGCATCTCCCACAGCCGGGTCAGGCTGGTCGTTTACCCCTGCGCACGCTCTGCCAACCAATCGTAGGTGAGCTGACGAATGACGGAGACTTGAGCTGAGCCAACCAGAATTCGCGATTGTCTCGACACGAGGGGCCGGTAGTATGGAGACAGGGGCAGGGCTGGTGGGGGTGTGGGAGGGGTCAGTAATTGAGGGGCCGGTCGCTGTACCCTATTCTGGCAAAAAAAAAAAAAAAAAAAAAAAAAGTGTTGCAGGCGAGAGTGATGGTTTTCTCTTTTAAGGTCGTCTCCGTGGCATTCTGCCTAAATGATGCATGGGAATAGTGCTGAAGGATGCGGGCTGATCGTGGGATGAATCGAGAAAACTGGGGCTCTTGTCTTTAGGGCAAGAAATTTTCCGGTTGTTAAGGAGACATACTGCAGCAGTTGCATGGGTCCTCCATGCGTGCCTCCTAAAACATTTTTAACAACTCAGTTTTAAAACTTACCATTCTCTCTGTGGCATTAGATCTTAATGCCACACTCTCTCCCACGCATAATGTCAAATTTAGGAGAAGTTATGTCCCTAAATATTCCTGGATTATATTTTGCAATAACTGGTTATTGTATTTACCTTCCTTAAACTATATCCTTATCGAGCTAGTCTACACCCATCTATTACTATCTCACATTTGGGGGGAATAATACATTTCTATAGTTCTAATGCTTGAACATAGCATACCTCTTCACCCTTCTTCTCGCCTATAAGGTCATCATGTAGAGAGGAGTTTGGTCAGAGTTCTTCGGAAAAACAAGTGTTCTTTTGCCATCTTTTTTGTCAATTATCTAACTACTATTAAGATGTACTCAGATTTAGCCATGTTCTACAGCCCTATCACTTTTTAATCTTGAAATGGATAACTTATATCTGCATTATCTTGCTATAGTATAAAGCACACCAAGTTTTCGCTTAAAATAATTGAGGGTAAGTGCTCTGTCAAAATATGTAGTAAACTATAATTCAGCCATTATTTCTTGATTACATATCATCAAAATATGAGAGTTGCATTTGAGCTGCCAGAATCAACAGTGAAGGCAGATTGCAAAAGAACTAAGATTCAGAGGAAAGTTTTAAGAGAATTGAAACCAAAGAGGATCTGATACCTCATCCTAAACTAATAATGTGAAATAATGAATTAAAATTAAGAACTCACATGGATATGAAGTGAAGCTTCATATCTGAGTTTTTTGGCAGGGATGTTTCAAGAGGATTTTGTAGGTGAATACAGTGTTCAAATAGCTTTTTAGAAGTTTCATATTTTGTATAAAACTCCTATGCTTTTTGTGGTTACTTTAGTAACAGCTAGATTTCTTTCACAGAAAAAAACAGACTGGTTCTTTTAAGATCCAACTTGGGTATTGTGGTAATAAGTTCCTAGTCTTGTTGGGGGTTAAATAGAGCCAAGAAGCCTCAGACTTTCTCTTTGTGCAGATCATTACAACCTGTGTAGTACCTTGCTTTACAGGGGAACTGAAAAGCCATTCACTTTGTAAGGAATAAAGTTCCAGTGACTTTCTTTTTTTTTAGAAATTTGTGTTGGAATGTACCTTAAGCAACTGTTTTCACTTCCTAGGTCCCCAGAAGTTGAGAAGCTCTGGATTGGAGTGCATTTGATTAAAGTTATCACAAAAAATTAGTGAATGGGTGCCCTAGTCATTCCACTTAGCTTAGTAGAGAGAGGAAAGGAGCTTTTTTTTTTTTTTGACATTTCCCCGATTATTTTCCCTGACCTTTCATCAATGCAGACTGTGATGATAAGGAGAAATAGAGATTCCCACTCTTGAAGTAGTTGTACCTCATTTATATTTCTCATAATGACAGGCCTCAATTTTTCATTCTCAATGCTGCCATAAAGATACGTTTTTAATCACTAAGAGGTAAAAGAAACATGTTATGTGGGAGTATATTTTCTTACCTGTTTTGTCTTGGTACTTAACTGATTTGAGGCTGCATGTGAAATGCTGGTTGAAGAATTAGCTTCTATAAGAAAGGATGTCAGGATGTGTAGAGAATTTGGAAGATCTGGGTGGAAATTGGGTATCTATCTCCTGATCCCTTAGTCCTGTTTAATGTTCATTGCTATGCTAGCATGAACTGTCTATTCTGAGAGTGATTTTTAGAAATAAAAATATGTCTCTATTCATTTGTTTGTGGGAAAGACCAAAAAAAAATGAGATAAAATGAAATTGAATTTTCCCCAAGAGCTGTAATACTGTGTGATAGTGAAAACTTAACAGTGTACACTGACACTTCAGGGCCTCTTTAGCTTCAGAAGTGCACTGCTGGGAGGGGAAAAAAAAAGAGAAAGAAAAACTTCATTTTTCCTCTCCCTGCTGAATCTGAGAGTTCTCTCACCTATGCCCATATACCCTCAAATGCCACACTTGTGTTACCATGGAAACCCAGCTCCTTTCTTTGCCTCTGTGAAAGATGTTGGAAAAGGTGGGATGAAGTGGGAAATAAACAATGTTCTGGGACTTTCTGATGTTAGCAAGAAGCAAGTATGCAAGGAATTTAATATAAACAAGTTAGTAGAGGGCGTTTGTAATGTGACCAGTGCTTCTTGGCTACAAGACCCTGATTCTTATTGCTTCCCATTAAAGCCTACATGTCTCTGATTAACCATAAAGCGAAGGACAAGAACATCTAGCACCTATGAAATGCTGCTGGCTGTTACAGAGAGAGCAAGACTCATTTCCTTGACCTCCCAGGCTCCTAATGCAGTTGAGAAACAGAAGTACATATGAAGAATCGAAAAGGAGGGGCAAAATAAATGTGTTTCTCTTTTGAAAATGTGCTATGTCTCAGCACTTTTGAAAAGAAGAAGAATTAGAATGCAGAAAGTGAGTCTATAAGCAAATCAATAAAAGAAACCTTTTGGTTGAGAAAGGAAATGTTTTAATAGGCAAATTTAAGTAGAAAAAAATTCCTGAAGGAAAAGACTTAATGATTAAAATAAAGGGAGAAAAAAAGAAAAACTGAAGAATCTTAAGAGCTTGAAGGCACTAAGGAAAACAGCTTTAGTGTAATTCATTGAACATAGCTGAGGAGGCAGCGTTGCTTGCATAACCAGCAGTTTCCCTATACTTTTGGGAAAAAAAAATGGGGGTGGGCGATGGTGAATCAGGATTGACCACTGATAGTAGTGCTTTCCCCTCTGCTCAAAGTTAGTCCAGAGATAGATATATGGTTCAGTTCTTGCCATTGGTATGGATAGAAAGCTGCTGGGCTGGGGGATTTCTGGGATTCTGACGCGAGTGAGTTAATATCCTCATTTTGATATCAGTTGCTTCCTGCTTTACACACTGAGATATGAGAATGTGGCCACCATCTTTGGACTGTGACACCTTATGGCTGAAGTTGGAAACAGATAAGCTTTGGATGGATAAGGAAAAGGGTGGGAAGAACCTAGGTCCTGGATAACAACATTGAAATGTCAAACCAATACTGGAAATAACCACCTTTGGACTATGGCTAAGTAAACAGCTAGTGTCCTTTGATTTATGTTTTTTCAGTTTAAGTCTGTTAGGTTTTCAGCATCTTGCAGTCAAATACATATCAGCAATTCCAGAAAGTGATAGGGATTTGAGACAAAATGGTGTTTAAAAAAATCAGCAAGTATTTATGAGTAATTTTCATTCTACTAATATCCTGAATGGTATTTCACAGACATTATATTTATTGAGCACTTATGTGTTATTCTAGGCTCTGTTAGCCAAAAGAGCATGCATTCTAGGAGGAGGTATAGACATTATAAACAGAAGAGACAGGCATTGAACAACTGATTACACATTTACATTATGTAGTAACAGCTATAACTAATGCTAATATGAAGGAAAAATCAGAGATTACAAGGGTGTCTAATAAAATATAGATAATAAACTATTATAAGATATATAACTAAATATAAATGAATAAAATTACAAAACCAAACATTTTCCCCAAGTACATGATAATATTATGTATCATTAATGGATGACTTCCTAGAGGTCAAGAGAAACCGAATAACCTGGAGTGGCTTTGGTCAGGGAAAACTGTCTGAGGAAATTAATAAGGAGCCATGTTTTGAAGGAAGTGGCCAAAGAATAGACTAGATGGTGCAGAAGGGAGCCGAAAGAGCAAAAGAAGAAAGCAGGAGTGAAATAAGGGGAATCCAGAATCACTTTATTCTTTAATTCCTACAGCAACACCATTCTGGGGACAACTACTAGGGGAAAAATCAGAAGCCAGAAGTCTCAAAGCAAGATTATAAAAGGTATAAAATTAATACAGGGAAAAATAATGCAGAAGAAAAAGTAGAGAGAGTGCAAAGGTACACTTAAAATTAGGGCATTATTCAAAATAATGAATAATTTATAATGTGAGTGTCATGAAAAACTTATAAAAAGTAATTATGGACTGAGGACATCAAGAAGGAGAGGTTCACACTTTCACAAATAGAAGTAAGAAGAACAATAAGGAATAGCAAAAAATGAAGACAGGCAAGAAAACAACTTTTGCTTCTAGTTTTTTATTCATGGTAGCTGTTATTGATGTGCATTATGTGAAAATGAATGGAGTTTGATTGAAAAGAAAAATTTCAACAGACCAGGAGTATATAAAGATAGTCTTTTTGGTAAATAATGTAATTTAAAATGTTTTCTGTAGAATGCTTTTCGTACCTTGCCATAGCAAAATCTTTTTAATAAAGAAGCTGTAAGGAATAATAAGTTATGGCTTAATGATACATTTTGGAAATTAAAAAAA